AGCCATAGCACCACTTCTGGCTTTTTTCTTTTTGCTTATGTGGTGCTGAGGAATCAAACCCAGGGCCTCATGCATGCAAGGCAAGCACTGTACCACTGAGCCACCTTTCAGCCCATGTTGTGACTTTTAAAAGACTAATTTCATTTTGTTTTATATGAAACAACAGAAAAAGTAGAAAATTTTGATAGTAGCTCTGTGTCCTAAAATAATAATAGGCGGGTTGTTATTAGGATAACATTTTGAAGGTATTAAAATTTTACAGCCTAGCCAATTCAGGTATGGATTCTGTATCTCATTGGAAAGTAGTCTTAGTCAACTGTTATGTTGTAGGTCCTGGAGTTGTTAATTCATCGAGATGGAGAATTTCAAGAACTTATGAAATTGGCTCTCAATCAGGGAAAGATCCATCATGAAATGCAAGTTCTAGAGAAAGAAGTAGAAAAGAGAGACAGTGATATTCAACAACTACAAAAACAGCTAAAGGAAGCAGAACAAATACTGGTAAGTTGATAATCGTTCTTAAGGTGGAAAAAGATGTGCATGATACATTAATAAATCTATGTCAGTAGTTTAAAGGGTCAAAAACTTGACTTTTAAGTCTAGAGTTGACATGCTGTCAGTGGTTAATTGAAAGACCATCTAAAATTTCAGTTTGCAGAATAATTCAAAATCAGTCGAAAGTTTGTGTTAATTTTATAATTTAAATAACATTTACATAAATTTGGTGTTCAATCTAAAACAGGGTTTTTAAAGTTCAATCTTTAAATAGTTGTAGCATCAAGTGAACATGTCAATTTATGTGTCCAATGAATCTTGATCAAGATTTAGGTATGTGTCAAGGACCAACTCTAGGTTTCCAGCTGTTGTTCTTGGCTACTATATTTAGGAAGCAATTTATTTGCTGTTAGCAATTATTTCACTAAATACTAACTAATGTAATTGTCATTCTGTGTTATTACAGAAATAGCTAAGCTCAGTTTTCATTTGAACTAGATGTTGCTGGCATCTTTACTCCTGTTGAATCACTACAGATATATGCCAAAATAGATTCCAATAACTAGGAGCCTGAGAAATTCAGGGTGACTAAAGGCTCCCTCCTGAAAGAACAACCCCAAGTAATTGCTTTTTAAAAAAATATATATCTAATCTGTTTTTCTCTGTGAAAGTAACATTTGCTTATCAAAAGTAATTTTAAAAATATGGAAAAAGCAGAAAGAAGGAAAAATGCTTTTACTTTTTCATGGTTTGTATGGTGCTACCATTTACAGTTCAGTTAGTCTAAACTAACAGTTAAGTCTGTTCTCTTTTAGGCTAATGTATTTTGTTTTTTCCCCCTTTGGCCTGTCCTGGGTCTTGAACTCAGGGCCTGTCCTTGAGTTTTGTGCCCAAGGCTAGCACTCTATCATTTGAGCCACAGCTCTACTTCTGGATTTTGTGGTTAATTGGAGATAAGAGTCTCACAGACATTCTTGGTTGGGGTTGGCTTCAAACTGTGATAATCAGATTTCAGCTTTGTGACTACTGGGATTACAGATTAGAGCTATTGGCACTCAGCTCAGGTATATTGTTTAACTTATATAATTAATAGACTTTCAGTTACTATGTAATTGTTTCCTGGTTGCTTCGTTTTCCAGGTTTGCATTATAAATAATATTTTGATGACTAGACTTGGAGACATATCTTTTCTTCTATGTTTTGGATTATATTCTTTAATATTTCCAAAAAATGTAATTACTGAAATAAAGATGATGACCAAAAGAATTGTAAGAATGAATGTTACGATTAACAGCAGCTAACAGTGACTGAGTGCTTAGTCACTGGGCCCTGTGCTTTGCATATTACATGCATTATCTCAGTCTTAATAACAATTTATATCGCGTCAGTGCTCCGATCCAGATGATGAAATCAAGACTTTCAGTGAATAATTAACTTGCCTCAATAGCTAAAAAAAGATGGAAATTAGATATCTCTGATTTCATATTCTAGCCACAGAGGTAGCTTTATGTTGACCTTTAATGTAGCTTGATGGACAGATGGATTGCTTTCCTGATAGCAACTGTTAAGCATTATAGATATGTACAAATGAATAAGGTCAATCTGAGAACGTTTCTTGTAAACCAGAAGAAAAAAAAATTCTATCCTAGGAGATATAGTTCACTGGTAGAGTACTTTTCTAACTTATGCAAAGTCATGGGTCTGATCGCCAGCTCTGAAACAAAACAAAAATGTGAGAAGGGGTAGTGGGGGGGTGGGCGGGGTTGAGACAGTTTCTCTGTGTAGCCAAGTTGGCATTGAAATTGTGATCCTCTTGCCCCAGCCACACTTAATTTTAGAAAGACTTTTTTTTTTAATGTTTAGGATATGTATTTAGAACATTTAGAAGATATATTTAGATATTTTAGAGTAGAATACTTTTGAGTGGTACATAGTCTGGATCTCTTTTTCGTATTTATGATAAATGACCTAAACAAAAAAAAACTAATCTCCCTAGTTTATATTTTTCACAACAATTTATGAATGGAGACTGATTTGTTAATATTATATTCTTTCATTAAATATAACTGGACATAAATGACGTGAAGTAGTATTTTAGGACATTGCAAATAAATTTTAGTGATGTCCAAGTTTTGCAAATTAGTTCCTATGGATAAGAGATCTGGTGAGTTAATATAGAAATCATGCATGATATAATCAAAGCTAAATCACATTTCTTTTTTCTTAATGTTGTTTTAATTAGGCAACAGCTGTTTACCAAGCAAAAGAAAAACTTAAGTCAATAGAAAAAGCAAGAAAAGGTTAGTACTATGGGAAAACTGGATGACCAATACTCAAGAACTTCAAGAATCTTAAGAGAATATTACTTGTAATCATTAGCTGCTGTTGAAAAGATGTCCAGCAAATTTTCATTGTAAATTTTCATTCTTGTTTTAGGCATCCTTAGGGTACAAGGATCTCATCTGTTTACAGGCTAAAAGCAAAAATAATAGAAGGTGATTTATGGCTATGGAATCAGATCTGTAAATAAAGACAGTGGTTTATGAAACAGGAAGAAGGGGAAGTGGGATTTGAATTGGATCTTGAAGGCTAGCACAGAGAGAATGAAAAGAAATATGCATTGGACAGCTCATTCTAGCTCATGTCAGAGCTAGAAATAGCTTTGCAAGTAATCATATTTAGTGGTACAGAGACTCAGGTTGCCTTCTACACTGCGGTCTGTTTTCAAAAGGTTTACCTTAAGGATATTATAGGATTCTTTAATTCACATGTTAAATGCAGAATTGTAATTAAAAGTTTGATAGCATGTCTAATGATTTGTAGATTGATTTATATTTAATCATCTCAGATTTATTGTCTGCTTTTACTCTATTCTGTTTCTCTGGGAGCTTATACTGTTTGGTTATTTCATATGAAAAAGCAGTACCTGGGGCTGGGAAGGTAGCTCAGTGGTAGAGGCTTGCCTTGCATGCATGAGGCCCTGGGTTCAATTCCTCAGCACCACATAAGCAAAAAGAAAAAAGCCGGAAGTGGTGCTGTGGCTCAAGTGGTAGAACACTAGCCTTGAGCTGAAGAGCTGACGGACAGCGCCCAGGCCCAGAGTTCAGGCCCCACAACTGGACCCCCCACATCCCTCCCCCCAAAAAAAAAGAAAAAGAAAAAGCAGTACCCTTTGAGAAATGGTAGACTGGTATTCAGTAACAGGAAACAATCTCCAGGAAAGGTGGCTGACTGTCTGAAATCTAGACCATGGTTTTGTTTTGTTTTTAGTTCTGAAAAATGTTACATACACAATTGCTCTATGTTATATTAAAACCAGTCTTAAGTTTATAGAATGAAAAATGAATTCTTACTTCTCAGAGGTACCTACTATTAATGTTTAGTATATGTCCTTCAGGATTCTTTTCTAGATCTGAGAATATAAGATAAAATGCAAATAAAGTATGCACATGTATTAAAACCAGAATTCATGTGGCACAGTGTATATTCAGCAACTCATCTTTTCACTTGCTGCTCTACTGAGAGAGAATATATTGTACATACCTTTTCACTTGGTTCTATTCAGAGCCTGAAACCTTGTTAATTACAGAGGGCAGGATGAATTGACTTCCAACCTCCTAGCTTGGCCATCAATGGTACATGAAACACTGTTTGCAATAGTTTACCTGTGCTCACTGGTGCTTTGAAAAGAGTAATGGTATTTGATGATAGTTAATAATTGAGATTATTGAGCATTATTATGTTCTCTCAACTTTGTTTCTGTGTAGCAATTGAATTTTGAGGGGGGCAGGCAAGGATGGTCTTTGGGCTTGAACTCAGGGCCTGGGTGCTGTCCCTTTGTGTTCAAAGCTAGCACTCTACCAGTTGAGCCACAGCAACATTTCTGCTTTTCCAGAGTAGTTTATTGGAGATAAGAGTCACAGATTTTCCTGCTTGAGTTAGTTTCAAACTATGATTTTCAAATCTCAGCCTCCTGTAGCTAGGATTACAGCCTATCAGCTGATTTTGAGTGGATGTCTTGCTCTTTAATTTGAAAATATAATCTATGTTTATAATATATTTAGATATGGTTGTGGAAGATAGGTGGCTGAGATTCTCCTATTTTTCCTGATAATTTAAAATTGTGATGTGTCATTTATAATGTAGGTGCTTCAGAATTTGGATGTTTGCTAAACAGTTACACTGTTCCCTTAACTCTCTCAGGTGCTATCTCCTCTGAGGAAATAATTAAATATGCACATAGGATCAGTGCAAGCAATGCTGTATGTGCCCCACTGACCTGGGTTCCAGGTAAAAACACTTCTCTTTTATACAAGATAACTATGGTTTTGAAAGTCTTCAAGTATTTGTCTATAAAAAAAGATTTAAACATAGAATGTTTATTTTTAGAAAAGTAATCCAATGGTAAAGGTATATGTATATAATACTTGCATATATTATACACACATGTCATAGATTTTGTAGGTTTGATTTCTTATCATGTCATTAGTACTGGGAACTATGGTTCTTTCCTTTTAAAAATGTTACTGAGGTTTTTTTTTTTGTGAAAATACTGTACAGAGGAGTTAACAATTACATAGGCAAGATAATGAGTACATTTCGTATCAAGCATTGTAGCCTCCTCCTTTGTGTTACTGAGTTTTGAAAATATATATTAATATGTGATACTTCCAGGACAATAGTTTTATATACCTTAAAATCATACTGGGCAAAAGGCGGCAGCAGCAGAGACAACTCTGGGCTTTGCATCTCAGGATATGTTGGCTGTGTTGGCTGCTTAGGCCTGGTCTGTCAAGATGGTTGGTTAGGATTCTTGGCACCATTTTCTATTTTCATGATAAGTTAGTGCCCTTTTTCTTGGCCCCCAGAAGAGGCAGTGTGTAAATATCACTGTTTTTACTGTGGATACTGATGAATTACCAGCTAAAGGAGCATGCTTAAATTTTTATTCACCAAATGAGAAATAGGATTTACAGTGCTGTCAGCATATTTGTATTCACCAAAGATTCATGGTGACTTCTGTTTGTAATGGAACTTGGAACATAGTCCCTTCACAATAGTACTTTTGAACTCTTCATCCCATGAACTTGGTTCTGGATCCTGGAACAACATGCTGAAACTGGGTAATAAATTTACTAATGAACTAAATGTCTGTCCAAAGATCACAGTGACCATGTGATCACCATGTAGAGTCCTGCCTCCCATTGGTTTTACTCTGAAATCATAAAGTTCTAATAGAAGACTAGGTGGGTATTGTCATAGCAACAGCCATCAAGAGAGGTCCTTTATGTGGAAACCTGAGGAAGTGTAACAGATGATTTCTGAAGAGGAGGGAAAGGTTCTGAAGGGTCTACCTTGTCCTGGAGAGAAGGACAACAAGGAAAAGAAGAGGAAAGAGAGAAGTACCAAAGGATATTGGAGCTATGTAAAGAAAGTGGTTATGGAAAACTCTGTTGCTCCTGTAATGTTGCATCATCATGGTTTTCAAAGAATTCATATGGATACATAAAGTCAAAACCAAAGTGGAAAAGCAGAATCATGGAGTCTGAACAACTCAACAGTATAGAGCTGTTCAAGCAAGGACCTCTTTGACTAGTGAGAAGTGCCCAAAAGGTTAAGTTTCACATAGAGAAAAGATGGAATCAGATTTGAAAGTGAACCCTGGGCCATTTGAAGCAGTGGTTTGCTGATTCAGGAAAAAAATGTAAGTAGTTGAGACAAAGGAAAATAATTTCCCAGATAAGACAGGGATAGAAGCATGGACGATCTCTCTGAACTTACAGAGAACATGGAAAAAGAAATCAGTGATGCTCTAGGCCACGGCCCACAAGATGAGATTCTAAGTAGTGCATTCAAGTTACAGATTACTCGAGGAGATATCCAGACCTTACAGGATGGTCACTGGCTCAATGATGAAGTCATTAATTTCTACATAAATCTTCTAGTAGAAAGAAGTAAAAAGCGAGGCTATCCAATACTTCATGCATTCAGTACTTTGTTCTATCCTAAATTAATGTCTGGTGGTTACCAAGCAGTGAAAAGATGGACCAAAAGGGTAAATCTCTTTGAACAAGAACTTATTCTCGTGCCCATTCATCAGGAGGTGCATTGGAGCCTACTAGTAATGGACTTAAGAAAAAAGTGTCTTAAATATCTGGATTCTTTGGGACAACAGGGTCAGAACATCTGTGAAATTCTTCTTCAGTATTTACAGGATGAAAGTAAGACTAAAAGAAATATTGAACTGAATCTTTTAGAGTGGACCCACTACTGTATGCAGCCACATGAGATTCCTCAGCAGTGGAATGGGAGTGACTGTGGGATATTTACATGTAAATATGCAGATTACATTTCTCAGGACAAGCCTATCACATTTACTCAGCACCAGATGCCTCTCTTCCGGAAGAAGATGGTGTGGGAGATCCTTCATCAGCAACTGTTGTGACACTGCCCCACTGGAGCCAAATTTCTCTGGCTCCTGGTGCTTCTCTCACATATGTTTCCACATATGTTTGCATTGTAGGTTAAAAAGACCCTGCATTGTTTCTGATCTTACAGGTGTGTCTGCATGGTAGTTCTGACTGTGAGGCTGTGTTTGGTCAGCCCTGCACTGTCAGCCCAAAAAGAACAATGCTAATTAATAGGGATTTTACTTTTTGTTTTGTTGTTTTTTAGTTTAGTTTTTGTGCTGGTACTGGGGCTTGAACTCAAGGACTGTCCCTGAACTTCTCTGCACAAGGCAAGCAGCACTCTTATCACTTGAGCCATAGCTCTACTCCTGGCTTTTTGGTGGTTAATTGGAGATGGCTCATATGTATAATCCTAGCTACTCAGGAGGCTGAGATTTGAGGGTTGTGTTCAGAAGCCAGCCCGGGCAAGAAAGACTCTTATCTCTAATAAACGTCTAAGAAAAATCTGGAAGTGGTGCTGTGGCTCAAGTGGTAGAATACTAGCCTTGAGCACAAAGAGGCATAGGGACAGAGCATAGGCCCCGAGTTTAAGCCCCAGACTGGCAAAAAAAAAAAAAATCTCATTAGCTTTCCTGCTTGGGTTTTGAACTGTAGTCCTCAGATCTCAGACTCCTGAGTAGTCAGAATTACAGATGTGAGTTACCAGTACACAGCAGGGTTTTTGTTTTAAAGATTGTTTTTCTTTTCTATAAATAGAAGAACTACTGGATTTATTTTACAAATTGTTTTTTTGTGTGTGTTTCTTTATGTGTATTCATGTGCTAGAACAAAAAGGTTGCAAGACCCTATCTCAGTCAACAACTTGAAAGTGGTGGTCTCACTTGTAATTCCAGGTGTGAGGATCATAGTGAGAGGCTAGCCCTGTGCAAAAACTATAATACCCACTGGGCACTGATGACTCATGCCTGTAATCCTAGCTACTTAAGAGGCTGAGATTTTAGGATTGAGGGTCAAAACAGCCTAAACAGGGAAGCCTGTGAGACTCTTCAATTAACCAGCCAAAAGCTGGAAATGGAGTTGAAACTGATTCAAGTGGTAGAATGCCAGCCTTGAGCAGAAAAGCTAAAGGACAGTGTTCAGGCCCTAAGTTCAAGCCCCAGTATTGGTGCACATACAACACACGCACATGCACACTCATGCACACACACACGAAAATTCAGGATTCTAAAAAAAATAACCAAAGCAAAAAGAGGAATAAAGGGTAGCGGCATAACTTTAGTAGAGTGCCTGCCTAGCAAGTTCAAACCCTATTATTACCAAAAGAAAAAAAGAAGTAAAAACGTAGTTTGAGTTTTTGAATGAAACATGATAAATCAGTACTCAAAGGATGGTACTCATTGATGGTTTTTATATTTTGTTTTAACTATGTTTGAATTTAAAACATTCTTTATTTAGGAGATCCACGAAGACCATACCCAACTGATTTAGAGATGAGAAGTGGATTATTGGGTCAGATGAACAATCCTTCCACTAATGGTGTAAATGGTCATCTCCCAGGGGACGCCCTTGCAGCGGGCAGACTGCCAGGTAACATTAGCCTCAGGAATGTTTTCTGAGATGACCCTGATGAGTGAGCTGGCTGCAAGTGTTTTGAGATTCCAAACCAAACTTGATGCGGTGGGCTTCAGTAGCTAGGTTATCTTCCAGTTACCCTGCTTCTTCACTTACTCCATTTAGACTTTCCTAGATAAAAGTTATGGAATTAGACTAAACTGCTTTTCCTTCCCTTAACTGTTAAAATTCTGCCATCTTGGGCTGGGAAGGTGGCTCAGTGTTAGAGTGCTTGCCTGGCATGCATGAGGCCTTGAATTCCATTCCTCAGCACCACATAAACAGAAAAAAAAAAAAAAATCTGGAAATGGCGCTGTGGCTCTAGTGGTAGAGTACTAGCCTTGAAGAAGAGCTAGTACTAGCTGAAGAAGAGCTGAGGGACAGTGCCCAGGCCCAGAATTCAGGCCCCATGACCGACAAAAAAAAAAAAAAATCTGCCATCTTCCTCAGGCATTGGGCCTTTCCTTTTTCTATTATTTTTCCTAACATTGTGTTTTTGCAGTTGTTAATTTAAGCATGCTATAAAAATAGAATAATAAACATATTTGTAAAGTATAAAAAGACAAAGGAAAAAGATACCCTTTTGGGAGCAGTCAAGTTAACTACCTTTAGCCTGTCATTTCTGTAAGCTACCTACAGTACAGACTTTTGAACTCACTGAAAATTTTATTTCCCTTTTGATATTCATCTTTCTCACTGCAGTCATTACTGGATTGTTTGCTAGTCACAATCCCACCAGGAGACAAACCACACTGGTAATTTAAACAGGGAAGTTGAAAGAATTCCTAACTAGTAATTATTATTACTAATGAAGGATTAGGAGACCCCCTTTTTTTCCTCTCAAGTACAGATATAAACAATATAGGTTGCTGCTAATATACTTAGGACCAAAGTACCAACCCATAGAAAGGACTAAAAGAGTCCTCCACATGCTGTCCCAAAGTTAACATTAAATTAGGGCACTTCCCTGGAGAGAGAGTGGAGCATAAATTTGATAAACTGTCAGAAGCCAGCACTGACCAGCAAGAAATTATTGCTGGGGTTCAGAGAAGCTTAATGGGAACCCACACTATGGGATTCTGGTAAAACCTAAGAAGCCACATTCAGGGGTGCAGCTGAAAGTTGCTGAGAAGTAAACATCACTTGACCTGTACTCCAGCCAGGCCCCACAGGAATAGAGGAAAAATGACAGTTGAGGAAGTGAAGCTTGATTTACAGAATCCATCTAGCATCTTCTATTGACAAAGCCTGAGATAGCAGCAGCTGGCCCAGGAAAAAAGAAATTAGGCAGGATAGATTGAGGTTGACTGGCACATTGATACAGTTAGTTTAACTCTTTCTCTTCTCTTTTTCTTTTCTTTTCTCTTCCTTTCTTTCCTTTCCTTCCTTTCTTTCTTTCTGATAGTTTAACTCTCTTCTTTTCTCCCTTCCTTCCTTCCTTCCTTCCTTCCTTCCTTCCTTCCTTCCTTCCTTCCTTCCTGATAGTTTAACTCTCTTCTTTTCTCCCTTCCTTCCTTCCTTCCTTCCTTCTACCTTCCTTCCTTCCTTCCTTCCTTCCTTCCTTTTCTTCCTTTTTTTTTTCTTTCTTTTTTTTTGTCGGTCATGGGGCTTGAACTCGGCCTGGGTGCTGTCCCTGTACTCTTCAGCTCAAGGTGAGCGCTCTACCTCTTGAGCCACAGCGCCACTTCCGGTTTTCTAGTGGTTTATTGGAGATCAGAGTCTCACAGACTTTTCTGCCTGGACTGGCTTTGAACCATGATCCTCAGATCTCAGCCTCCTGAGTAGCTAGGATTACAGGCATGAGCCACCGGTGCCCAGCTTTTCTTTCTTTTGCTTGTTCTGGGGCTTGAACTCAGCCCTGGTTGCTGTCCCTAAGCATTTTTGTTTGTTTTTTGTCAGTTGTCGGGCTTGAACTTTGGACCTGGGCACTGTCCCTCAGCTCTTCAGCTCAAGGCTAATGCTCTACCACTTGAGCCACAGTGACACTTCTGGCTTTTTCTGTTTATATGGTGCTGAGGAATCGAACCCAGGGCATTATGCATGTAAGGCAAGCACTCTACCACTGAGACACCTTCCCAGCCCCCCTAAGCATTTTTGCTCATGGCTAGTACTCTGCCATGTGAACTACAGCTGCACTTCTGTCTTTTTTGTGGTTAATTGGAAATAATAGTCTCTCAGACTTTCCTACTTAGGCTACCAGTATGAGCCACAAGTACTGAGCATAACTTAACTCTTGATTCTCTTCAGATCTGGCTTCTTCCTCTTCATCTTAAACTATATTTGCTTTGCTCTTTACCTTCTCTTCAGTCTTGGTGTGATTTGGGACGTTTTTGGTAAGATATTTTTGACACACACATTGCCAGTCAACAACTCTAATGATTCTTTTTCTTTCTTTTTTTTTTTTTTTCTTTTTATATTGGTTCTGGGACTCAAACTCAGGGCCTGAGCTGCTTTTTGCTCAAGGCTACCTCTACTTCTGGCTTTTTTTATTCATTGGAGACAGTCTCTACCCATACTCCTTCCTGGCCTGGCTTCAAACTGCTATCCTCAGATTTCAGCGTCCTGAATAGCTAGGAATCATGCCCAGCATGATTTGTTTTTTAATAGATTTCTTCTCTTTTTTAAGATTATTCAAATCTATCCTAATACTTAAAACTGTATTATATTATTACTTGTTTATAATATATGACCTAATTATGTATTGTTCTTAAATTGTGGTGGTGTGGTGGTGGTGGTGGTGGTGGTGGTGGGGTGTGTGTGTGTGTGTCTGTGTCTGTGTGTGTGTCTGTGTGTCTGTGTGTGTGTCTGTGTGTGTTGTGCTAGTCCTAAGGCTTTAAACTCAGGGCCTGGATGCTGTCTCCGAGTTTTTTTGCTCAAGGCTAGCATTCTACCACATGACTCACAGCTCCACTTCCAGTTTGGTTGGTGTCTAATTAGAGATAAGAGTTTCATGAACTTTCTTACCCAGATTGGCTATGAATGAGATCTTCATATCTCAGCCTCCTGAGAAGTTAGGATTACCGGCATGAACAGCCAGCACCCAGCTTATGTGTGTGTGATTTTAAGATAGGTGCCTAGTTACTAAAACATTATACTTTTCTTGGATCACTTTAATTTGATCTGCCTTAGTTTGGCCAAACATATATTTTAATTCTAGCTTTACACTTAATTCAGTAACTCAGTGGCTGGGGATATACTTGGTGGTATAGTATATATTTAGCATACATGAATGAAGCCTTGGGTTGGCTCAGTGTCTAGAAACACACTCACACTCTAAATATTTGCATAAAGAGTAATCGATAGGTAGATTAGTACCAATAGAACTGTTCTTATACATTCTTCTCTCTTTTCTCCAGATGTTCTTGCTCCACAGTATCCATGGCAGTCAAACGACATGTCAATGAACATGTTACCACCAAATCACAGCAATGACTTTTTGTTGGAACCTCCTGGACATAATAAGGAAAATGAAGATGACGTAGAGGTTATGTCAACTGACTCCTCAAGCAGTAGTAGTGACTCTGATTAAAAAACTTGTGAGATTGCACATAGAATTGAATACTCTAGGATTTTCTTAATAATGGGGAAATATAAACTGAACACTCCTAAGTGTAGCCACATAGATTGTACATCCTAATAAAAATAAAAATGGGTTTTGTTTTCAAACCCCAACCTGATTTTAGTTCTAATCTAGGCAAATGTTTGGAACTAGTCAAGCTTTACTGTTGAGAAGATTGTTGAGCAGTTCTGTGCTGGTCTTCCCGGCTCCCTCCATTGGAAGCATGTGGTAGGAGGTGACCCATGCACATGTGTCACTAACCAGCATCCAGGAATTATTTAGAAAAGCATTTTATAAAACTGGTGGATTACTGAATATTCAGAGTTCAGAGTACAAACTCATGTTTCTCAGCTCTGCTACAGTAACAAGTTGTATTATTTGTAATTATTGTTTTTTTATAAATAAAATTGTTTATACTTTGTTTTTTAATTTAAACATTTTAGTGGAGGTAGAAAAATTATTATTTTAAATTCAGTAGAATTTCCAACTACTTACCTAGGATTCTGCAGTGGGAATGTGCTTGATTTTTGGAATACATTTGACCCAGTAATCCCAACTAGCAAGTTTCTCACTCCTATTCTTAGAAGAAATAAACTATTTATTAACAATTAAAATTTTTACTATAGTCACGTCTTCTTTCAAGAATAAGTTGTGTGAAAGGTGTTAAAAGATCTTGCCCTTACCCTCCCTATTCTCTTTTTCTAATTTTTTCTTTTTTTTTCAGTCATGGGTCTTAAACTCTGGGCCTGGGCACTATCCCTCAGCTCTTCAAGGCTAGTGCTCTACCACTTGAGCCACAGTACCACTTCTGGGTTTCTGGTGGTTAATTGATGGTAAGAGTCTCACGGACTTTCTTGCCGGGACTGGCTTTGAACTGTGATCCTCAAGCTCAGCCTTCTGAGTAGCTATGATTACAGGCGTGAGCCACCAGCGCCTAGCTAATATGAATTAATTCTAATGGTATACTCATGATCATACACTAATACCATAGAATCATTTTGTCATCAATAAAATATTAATAAAATATGGATACTATAATGGGAAAGGAAGGAAGTAGAAAGGAGACAGATGAGACAAACAGCAAAATCTTGGTTCTCGGGTAGACAAAGGAGTATGGGGAAGTTAATTGTTCCATTTTCTATTTCTGGGATATTTAAAATTTGTCATGTAGAAATTTCCTTTGTTCTCTATATCACCTTCTCCCCCACCCCCACCCCCACACACAGTGTTTTAAAATGTCAGGAGATGGAAAAGCTTTCCTTCTCTTCTAAAACAGCTTTGATGCACCAAAACTCTAGAGATGCAGATAAAGAAGTGTGTAGGCACTTACCAGAGTGAATTTTCATTCTCTACAGCAGTACTCTGAGTTTACTTGTGATAGTTCATGAAGACTGCATGACCAAATACCATAGACTGGGTGACTTAACAACAGCAAGTTGTTTTCTGCATCTGTAGGTTAAAAGCTTTCTGCCACCTCTCTTCCTATGTTTGTGTCTTCTAACATGATCTTTTCCTTACATGTCAATTATGTGTCTCCAAACTTACTATTTTTATGAGAACCTCAGCTAGATTGAAGAAGGACCTGTGTTAGCAGTCTCATTTTAACCCAAACACCTTTCAAAGCCCAGTCTCCAGATCCTTTCAGTCTCCATCCACTTTCTGAAATATTGCAGGTTATGGGCTTCAGTGTAGAAATCTGGTGGGATGCAGTTCAACAAATAACCAACTAAAGGCCTGTATAAACTAATAATTAGAGGTTAAATGAATGTTTGGCCTAGTAAGATTTTAGGTTCAGGTTATATATCTAGTTGCATAGCCCATGTATATAATATATAGGAAATTGTACTGAATTTTGCAAATCATTGTTTCAATTAACAAACTAGTTTTCAGCACTTCTTATGAGACCAAATCCTTTATCAGAGATATATCACCCTAGTATCATCCTAATGGTAATCATTTATTTGGGAAAGGACTTACTTTGTAACATCTGATTTTAGAGCCATTTAAAGAAAAGTTTGGTTGTCAGAAGGTAAGTTCTTAGTCTTCCTTATACAATGTGTACTCTCCTTTAATTCTTTTGCTTCAGCTTCTTCTAAATGTCATAGCTACTTTTCGTTCTAATTCATAAAATCAGAATATGATATAAATGAGATGTCTGAGGTTATGAAGTCCAGGGATAGAAAATAGTTTTCCAAGCCGGGCGCTGGTGGCTCACACCTGTAATCCTAGCTACTCAGGAGGCTGAGATCTGAGGATCGAGGTTCAAAGCCAGCCTGGGCAGGAAAGACCATGAGACTCTTATCTGCAATAAACCACTCAGAAAACTGGAAGTGGTACTGTGGCTCAATTGGTAGAGCGCTAGCCTTGAGCTGAAGAGCACAGGACAGAGCCCAGGCCCAGAGTTCAAGCCCCACAACCGACAAAAAAAAAGAAAAAAAAATAGGTTTCCATTGTTCTATTTCCCAATTACTGATGCTGACTGCTGTGTTGAACAGGTTCCCTGGGCTAAGGAAGTGAGAAAGTATTAGACTGACATAGCTTGGTGCTGTCAGGGCAGTTATTCACTCACTGTGTTTAAGCACCTTTGTATGTTAGGTACTCCTTCCTTGCTGAGGATCCAGCACTGAATAAGACAGAGCTTAAACAAAAGGCAGTAAAATGAACCCAATAGTGTTAAGTATAATAAGGAAAAGAAAATACAATAAGTCAAGTTCCAAATCCAATGAAATTCACAGTCCTCTCCATCTCATATGTACAATCTAGAGTTTTCATAAATTTTAAAACAGGGCTGGGAAGGTGGCTCAATGGTAGAATGTTTGCCTTGCATGCATGAGGCCCTGGGTTCGAGTTCTCAGCACCACTTAAGCAGAAAAAGCTGGAAGTGGCACTGTGGCTAGAGTGCTAGAGTGGTAGAGTGCTAGTAGCCTTGAGCTGAAGAGCTGAAGTATGGTGCCCAGGCCCAGAGGATCCCACAACTGACCAAAAAACCCAAAAAACAAAAAAGTAAAGCAAAAGCAAAATTGTGAGTGCTGCTGTTTTTCACAACTGAATTTTTTTTTTCCAACCCCTGGACTCCTTAAAGGAAATGACCAACACTCAACTGGCATGATTTTTCCATAATAACATGCCTGACCTTGGCCTTTGTTCCTATTGTGTGCTGCAATTCTGAGAACTGATAGTCTTATCTGAAAGGAAAAAAAATGCTCATAAGACTCCTTTATTTTTTCACAGAAAAATCATAAAGTCAACAACCCCAGTTACTCATTTCCCCATCATGCTATAGGTTGGCAGGAAAGTACTTGCAGGCATAGCTACCAAGTGCTATAAAAGTGAAAATTTCCCTTCACTTAATCTCCACTTGGGTGGGTTTTATGTACCCAGAGTAACGTGGCTGCAGTGTAACAATAGGGTTTTATTTTGATGAAATGATGTTATTAATGTTAAGATTTGATCAATGTCATTACATTTGTATTCCATCCCAAAGTCCTAAGTTTAATGTGCTTAGTTACCTTTAGCAAAAGTATGCCCATCTCTTGTGTTGAGTGTTAATGTTATGCAAAGCATAAAGGATACATGACAGACTTCAAACTTGCTTTCAAAATGATACTTCTCAAAATGTGGCCACAGCCTTGAGTATCAAAACCAGCTGGGTGGTGATTAGAACACAGATCCAGCTAGATGCAAGATCCCAGTAAGGTCTTTTGCACAAGCCTGGACACCAGTGTCCTAAACCTGCCTCAGTCACTGCTGCCACTATCTGGGAATCTAGTGCTACTCTTGGGAATTTTCATATGTAGACAGATAATATAACGGATACAACCCCCCCCCTTCCCAAAGTAGGACTAAAGAATGAATATGTAGTAGCGATTATAGTAAGACTAGGGGCAGCTGATTAGAAAAAGAATCAATTGTGTACATACCCTCTTTGCATTTATATATGCAGTGCCATAAATCTGACTCCTCAAACCCTTGGGCCTTTAAATGTATTTCAGGATTTGAATTGTGTGTTTTAGAAGGCTAGTAGGATTTATAAACCATATGTTAATAATGCCCAACAAGGTCTGCAGTAGGACCTTTTAAATCAAGTACATTAAAATTTCTTTAGCAAAAATACATACTTTGGTGACCCAGTCTTTTCACTTTTCATTTATATCCAACAAAAATAAGTAAAAATGCGCGCACACACACACACAATCTACAAAGTCATAGCAGCTTTATTTACAATAGTTCCCAGTCAAAATTCTCAAATGAACATCAACATTACTTTATGTAAATTCTTATTAATACAGAGGTCAATTGTGTAGTCTAGGCTGCCCTCCCACTCTCAATCTTGCTTCAGACTGAAGTTCTGGAATCATAGGCATGTTACCACCACACCTAGCAATTTCAGTGTATTTAAGTATGGAATACTATGCAAAATGATAGTGATGAATTATAGCTGCATGACATGGATAAAAACTCAAAAGCACTGTTGACTGAAAGGCGCCATGAGTTACACAATTCTTATAATCATATTGTATAATTTCTTACAGCAGGTTCAAAGCAGATTCATCAGAAATCAGTTTTGGGGTGCTGGTAAATTCTATTTCTTGATCTAGGTAGTGGTAATTCATTGTGTCCTATATGCATGTTATTTTAAAAAGTTACTGAGTTTTTTGTTTCCTTTATTATTCACATAGATTTAAATGTTAATGGAGTCCTACTCATATTCCAGCTATTTTGCAAGGCATTAAGGATACCTAATGAACTTTATTTATGGCGCATGCAGATTTGCTGAAGTCATGCTTATTGGCTAGTTTGCTTGCCTATGAGATCCCATACAGAGCAAACTTTTAGGAGTGATTTCTACCATGGGTTTAACTGTTGATTCTCACAACTGTTACTTCTGGCTATCACTTCTAGCCCTCTGAGTCAGCTAGACTCCCTTCCAAAGATTGACCCACATTAGAAGAAGCCAGGCCTGTATCCTGGGTTGGGAAAGTGACCTGCAGGACGTCATACTGCTTCATTTTCACAGGCTGATCCAGTCCCATTCCTCTGGCTCCAAACTCCTCACTTCCCCCAGGCCTAATCCCTCACTCTGGGCCTTACTTTATTCCTGAACCTGTTGGCTGCTTATTCTTCCTCTCTCCACTTGAAGGTTTTTTGTTTGTTTTTTTGGTTTTTTTAGGTGCTGTTATTGGGGCTTGAGTTCTTGCTTGCTTTCTTGTCATGGACACTCTATATTTTAGCCAGGCCTTCAGTTTGCTGTTTTGCTGGTTGATTGGAGACTGAGTCTCACAGATTTTTCCACCCAGGCTGGCTTTGAACTGTGATCTTTCAGGTTTCAGTCTCCTGAGTGGTGAGGATTAGAGGTGTGAGCCACTAGCCTCTGGCTGAAATTCAGCTCCTTTAGTGATAAAACCTGGACAGGGACAGTGAAAGTAAATAAGGCTGGTGGCTGCTGCCATCAGGACTTGTAAACCTAGTCTATTGAAAAGTCACTAAGAAAAGTGAAATTTACCCTAGTCCTTAGCAGGCCTACCCAGACCATGGTTTCTATTTTTTGGACTTCTAGCTGTTTTCCTGATTTATTTCTCTTGGTGTTTCAAGAGTCTCTTACCCAAATAGCCTCTTTCTCGTTACCCTAAGTATCTTGTTGATTGAAATATATTCTTACTGTGTAAAACAAGTATATCTACTTGTATATTCACTAATAAAACATGGGAGTATTCTCAAACACAAATGACCATATGATCATGACCATATGCTTCTGAAAATATAGAAGATATCATAAGGTTCTTAATTTCTTTCCTTTTTTTCATAAAAAATACACTGATTTATTTGAGGTATTTATTTTCTTTTTTTTTATTGTGAAAATACTGTACAGAGGGGTTACCATTACATGGGCAAGATAATGAGTACATTTCTTTTTTTCTTTTTTTTTTGTCGGTCGTGGGGCTTGAACTCTGGGCTTGGGCGCTGTCCTTCAGCTCTTCAGCTCAAGGCTAGCGCTCTACCACTTGAGCTACAGCGCCACTTCTGGTTTTCTGGTAGTTTATTGGAGATAGGAGTCTCACGGTCTCTCCTGCCCCGGCTGGCTTTGAACCGTGATCCCCAGATCTCAGCCTCCTGAGTAGCTAGGATTACAGGCGTGAGCCACCAGCGCCCGGCTAATGAGTACATTTCTTAATTTCAAATACAAACTTCAATAATTTCCCCTACAATATAATACCTTGCCATCATGACTCCTCTACATTAGTAGAGCAACATTTGTATTTCAAGTGCTCCACCTAGTGGCAGCTCTATGCATACACACCTTTCACAGGTAGGTACATCTGATTTGTTTCACTACTGCTCCTCCATAGAAACAGCTTTTCTCCCAGCGACAGTGGGAATGTAAATAGGAGAAAAAAATCCAGACCCTATCTCATAAATAACTACAGCAAAAGGGACTGGAGTTGTGGCTCAAATGATAAAATGCCTGCTTAGCATGCTTGAAGCTCTGAATTGTAAGCCCCAGTACAACCAAAAATAAGGGGGACAGAAACAGGAAGTCCCAAATGAAGTTGGTAAATGTCTGGCTTACTCATGACTGTCCCTTTTGCCTAGAAATTGTTGATAAAATGGGAGAGCTGTATGCAAAACTATTAAGCCCTGGTATTATACAAAAATCCAATATTTAAATATTTTAAAAATGAAAACAAATATGTAGCATAGGAATTTGGAATTAAGTACATACTTACAATTTTCAATTTGTTGAGGTAAATAATATAGGGGCCATGGATATGCCTCTCAGTTAATAGCTTTAAGTGGTGTTTCTTATGAGAACGACTTAATTTTAGCACTAACTTCTATGTACACAAATCTAATTACTTGCAGAGAGAGAAAGAAAGGGAAAAGGGGGAGGATATAGGAGAGCAAGAGAGGGAGGGAGGAAGAGAGGGAGAGTGCTTCAAAATGTGATCTTATTTGTGGACTGATGCCTGGTTCAAGTGGTAGAGTCCCTGGCTGAGCAAACATGAGGCCGTGAGTTTACTCTCCAGTACTGCCAAGAAAACAAAACAAAAACACAAAGCCCAAGATATATCTCCGTGAAAAAACCTGAAATTTTTATTAACCAAAACCAGTACGTGAACCTAATTTTTCTGAAAACTAACTTTTTCTAAAACAAAAAAGTTCATCAGTGAGGGGGGTATTATGGTTGTACAGTTTTGTGTCTGACTAGTTCTGACAGCTGATTCTCATATCTGCTTTTGCATTTGCTCTGTTACAATACTATGCAGGCAGACAAGCTCTGGAAATCTCTGTACATTCATCAGAGAATGAAAAAAAAAAAGTTACATGCCTGAAAAACAGCTTCAGGCCTTGATACCCTGAAAGTCTCCTGGGAATCTCAGATCACATTTTGAGATCCAAGAAGAGTCAAAAAATTCAAAAAGATTCAAAGAATCTTTTTGGTCAGCTGGAGATGGTTTCCTTTGTATCCTTCCAGATGATTCAGCTCTTCTGTAAATGGATTGTAGCCTTGTTCCTTCAAACAGCGGAGTGCCCAGAAAAGCTGGTCTGGAGGAGGGAATTCTTCCCACGGAACCCACTCCCAACCTGGAGAAGAGACAGACTGTCAGTGCACTCAGCTGACACAGAGCATGGAGAAAGTACTTTGGTATGCTAACCTGTATTTAGGAAAATGACTGAATTTCAAAGTGATCTGCTGCAGGCAGGCAAGGCAAAGTGCACCATTATATACAGTTGTCTTACTTTCATTTTTTTCAGGTTCTACATTCTTGGGTTCTGGGTCTTGGGTCCTATTGACTTCTCCTTTCATCAGTATAGTGACATAATGGTAATTCTCTTTCTCCACAAATGAATTGACCACTGAAGCAAAGCGGACATTTTCCAGGTGAAGAGCAGCTTCTTCCCAGGTTTCCCTTCGAGCACATTCTTCCCAAGTCTCCCTAGAAAACAGAAATTTTCCATTGCATTTTATTCAATTCTATTTATACAGTTTAGTCTTTTTTTTTCTTGATTAGAAACTACTAGTGAAAGGCAAAAAGAACAGTAATTGGATGTGAAGGGTAAACAAAGGAGGAGGCTGCAATGCTTGGTAAGAAATGTACGCATTATCCTGCCCATGCAATTGTAACCCCTCTGTACAGTATGTTCACAAATAAAACAAAATTAAATTAAAAAAAAGAACAGTAATTGGCTTGCGCTTAGACATGATCAAAGTCTTTGCTGGGTGGGGTGTATGCCTGTAATCCCAGCTACTTGGGAGGCTTGCTTGAGTCCGGGAGTTCTGGGCTGCAGTGTGCTCTGCCAATTGAGGATCCTGAGTTCAACATGAATATGGTGACCTCCCTGGAGTGGGAGACCACCAGGTTGCCTAAGAGTTGACTTTCTGTATGTTCTACATCTACCGAGCTGAGGAGCAAAAGGACTTCATAGAGAACAAGAAATTAACATTTAGCCCATTCAGCACGAATTCTCAAGCCAGATGCAAACCCGAGCCACTAGAAGGCATTCAGTGTATTGGTTTAAGAGCATGGGCTTTGGGGTCAACTAGACTTATATGGGGCTCAAAGGCTTTTACTTGTCTAAAGGAAAAAGAGAAGTGTGAGCATTTACACTGAGTAGTTGTGCTAAAGTGCACTGACTTTTCCAGTAGTCTCAGCATTCCAACTTATGCCTTAAAAGTGAGGACAATTGGCAGTAAGCACTTCTAGATCCTCAGTGGTATAAGGGAGATGAAACAAGATGTCATCTGAGCTTATGGATTTGCCAGGAAGGCCAGACTAGTCCTTGACCCCCATCCTGCCCAGGCCAACACAAGGACAAGATCTAAGATATGCATTTGCTACCTCATAGGAATGGTTCCCTTCCTCCTGATGAACAGTCCATTCTGTTCCCCAAGCCCTAGGAGAGGCAGTCCAAGACAATGGGCACAGAGGCCAGAAGATATGGCCAGGGAACTGCAGAAATTCACAGGCCTACCCAGTACTTCAAAGCAGGGTGCAGGGAAGAAGTCTTGGGAAGATCTGCAGTGTCTCTTGTCACTTTAGGATGTATATGAATTCAGAGGAAGACCAGGAGGGCTGAGCAAGGAAGAGGGGATGCAGTGAAAAAGCACCATTTCTAGTGTGTTCCTTGTGGACTTTCTACAGACCATAAGATTGCTGGGAATTCCACAGGGGTAGTATGCTAGAAGCAAGAGCTAGGGGAACAGGACCAGTACCACAAAGTCAGTGCTACTTAGCCAGGGACTGTGTGGTATAGCAATCCTTGTGGGATGTCCAAGCAACCAAGCAGAGAATCCTGATGGGAGAGCACATGGACAGTGGACCTGGCACACAGAAGGGCAATGGGTGAACTGCAGCAGCCTCCATGGGATCAACGGCCTGCCCTCTCCTTCCTCCCCTCCCCTCAGACGGAGGGGAGCAGGAGGTGGAGAGAGCAAAGCAACAGCTTTGCTTTGAAAATCACAGGGAGATTAGAACCCAGAAGTGAGGCTAAAGATTTATACTGGATTAGACTCTGGAATGCTTGGAAGTAAATCTTAAGGGCCAAAATTCAATTTATTAAACTAGCACAGAAAAATTATCAGAAATACCACTTGTGGAAAAAAAAAAGCTCTTTTTTGAAGTGGAAGGACAAAATAAGGCTATTTTCTGTTTGACTCCTGTTAAAGTTAGCTTTCAGTATTCAGTTCGGTAAAGACCACATGACAGAGAGCAGCTTAGCAGGTACTTAGCTTAAGCACTTAGTAAAACTGCTTTAAAGTCAGTGTTGGTTACCATCACTGATACTGAGTCAAGAGTCCAGTACTTTCTTAGGATAGCTATCTCTAGCAATTGTTCTAGTAATTATATGTACTTTCTAGTCCTTAGCTTGTGATCTAAGTTTGGCTAATACCCACCAACAACCAATAAAGCACATTTAATATGTGGCTATACAGGCAATTCAGGTTTTTGCTGATATTGTTTTGGCAGTACTGGGATTTGAACTCAGGGCCCTAACACTTGCTAGGTATGAACGCTACCACTTGAGCCACACTCCTGCCCTTTCTGCTTTATATTTCCAATAGGGTTTTGCACTTTGCCTGGCTTAGCCTGAACCATTATCTTCCTATTCATGCCTCCTATGTAGCTGGAATAACAGATACACACAACCACACTGGGTTTCCTCATGGAGATGGGTGTAAGTTTTTGCTGAGGATGGCTGCAAACTAAAATCCTTCCCAGCTCTGTGTCCCAGTAGGTGGGATTACAGGTATGAGCCACAATACTTGTCCCTATTGGGTTTTTTGAGATGTTTTTGTCTATGTAGCTCAGGCTGGCTTTGAATTTGTAATCTCAAGTGCTGGGATTACAAGTGTATACCACCACAGGTGGCTTTTAATTTGGTTCTTTTTTTGTTTGTTTGTCTGTTTGGTTTTTTGGTCATGGACCTGAATTCTGGGCCTGGGCACTGTCCCTCAGCTCTTCAGCTCAAGGCTAGTGCTGTACCACTTGAAACACAGTGCCACTTCTGGCTTTTTCTGCATATGTGGTGCTGAGAAATTGAACTCAGGGCCTCATACATGCAAAGCAAACACTCTACCACTAAGCCACCTTTTACCAGCCTCTTAATTTGGCTATTAAAACTTTTAAAATGCAGTATTAATGACTTACCTTTATCTGAGAACAATAAATGTATTGGGTTTTTTAATTCAGAAGATCATTTTTTTTAATTCCACATGTTGGGTCCTAATGACTCACATCTTTATTTTTTTTTTTTTTGACTCACATCTTTAATCCTTACTCAAGAGGTTAAGATCTGAGGATCAAGGTTCAAGGCTAGCCTTGGAAGGAAAGCCTATGGGACTCTTTATCTCCAATTAATCACCAAAAAGCCAAAAGTGGAGCTGTAGAGCATGTCTTTCAGCAAAACAGCTGAGGGACAGTGCCCAACGCCTATGTTCAAGCCCCAGGATGCACAAAAAAATTAATATGCTAAGATATTAATTTCATACTTTATATAAAAGACTAATTAAAAGACACTAGTATGACGGTTTTACTTCTGATTATCAAGACGAACACTCCATATTTTCAACTAACAAATGGCAAGACAAAGGCTGTTGGGGGGGTTTACTATTAGTTATGTTGAGATAATGCGATATATATCTTTTCTTTTGCTCTCAACAGGGACAAAAGAGTAAAAAAAAAAAGATTTTAGAGGTAATTTAGGAAGAGGGATGGGGGTGTAGCTCAAGTGGTAAAGCATCTACCTGTCTAGCAAGAAAGAGGCCCTGGGTTTAATTCGGGGGGGGGGAGGGAATGCGTAAAATTGGGAAGAAGGTAGAGTAACAGATGATACTAAAGAACTGATGTTAGGAAAATAGTGGTGCGTTTTTACTTTTAGACCTATTTAGACAGAACACAAGTATTTAGGGACACTTGTAAATCTCAAGGAACCCCACGGAATCTTGGAGGGTCCGAGATGGACTGCTGGGGTTAGAAACGCCCACCCAGCTCCTCCCAGCCCCACGCGGGGCAGGTTCACCCGGACGACGTGCTTTCCTTCCCCCAGCACAGCGCCCCCTCCCGGCGGGAGACTGCGAGACCCTCGGCTTCGCAGAGCAACCCGTGAGAAACGACGCACGGCGTCAGCGCAGGCACGCACGCACGCACGCACGCCAAGGCCCGCCCTCCATTCCGCTTTGACGGATCGACCTGCTCACCCGAACTCCAAGTGTCCCCCAGGAAGCTGGAAACTGCCGGCTCCAAAGGAGCCTTTCCTCTTGCCCAACAGGACGCATCGAGGATGCTTGTAGCTGGTCACAACCACTCCGACGCCGACCCCGGGGCGCCGCCTCAGCGGCTCCACACTGACGCTCATAGTGCCGACGGCCTGGCTGGGCCGCCACTGGAAGGGCACTTCCGGTGGTGTACGCTTCCAATCTTAGCTCGGGTCGCCCCAGGACCTCTAAACCAAATTGGCCGCTAGGCCTCCGCCTCCCGCAGAGGGGGGGACTGCGTGCCGAGTTCTGTTTTAACGAATGCCATTTAATTTTGCACTTCAACACTTAGGTGTCCGTTCCCAGGTCCCTCCATACCACCTGGTTACAGGACACCTGCCCTTCCGAACATCTGAACTCTTGCACATTGAGTGACCTTCGCTCCAGAGAACTCGTCTTACACTTGAGCTCGAACCAGTGAGGTACCAGGGCAGAAGTAAGTCACTGATTTAAGATAAATGAAATTTTGGAGTAAATAAGAACTAGTAAGTTGTGTTAGAATGTGTTAATTTCATGTTTGAGACACTATTGCAGATGTTTACACACCATGCACCAAGTGAAAAAACAGAAAAAGGGGAAAAATCACCGTTGAAACAAAGAACCATAGCTCAAACACATGATTCGTCTACATGGGATTTACAATGGAGGAGGTAACAATGATTGATAGGAAATGTACTCATTACCTAACTCATGTTAACTGTAACCCCTCTGCACAGTATCTACAATAATTTTTTTAATACTCTGGTTTGAATTCATTTTTTTTCCTTCTGGCACTTCCTGTGTTTGACACTTAAAGCTCCATGTAGCTCAAAACCCACCTTGCAGTTTTATATAATATTGAATGGTGCCTAATGTAGCTAAATCATACACTTGGTCACATTGCAACTCATGTCCAAAGGAACATTTCTCCCTCTCCTTCACCCTCTCCCACACCCGTCTCATCTTTTTCCTAACACTGTATGTCATTGGTTGGTTGGGATTCAGTCTGTGTGAAATGAACTAAATATTCACTATGGTTCAACTTGATCTGATCACATTCAGTGTGTCTTAATAGCTGGCCTCAGCTTTCTCACATTTGAACTTATTTGCTTAAGATGTCTCAAACATACCAGATTTATGCTGTGGCTTCTGTTATAACACTTTGGGAAGACCATGTCCTTGATTCATGTGGACTCAGCATGAGACCCAGGGAACTTCAAGATATCAGAAGAGTCCTTACACAGAAACCTCCCCATTTCCACCCATCTGCTGTGCCCCCTGACTATATGGTGTGGTCAAGTTTGTTTTGATATGGGGGACTCTCCTGGGCAATAGCAAACCATCTCAAATGGGAAGATTGATAAGGCAGGGCTAGAGGCAGGGAATTCTCCTCTGCCTTCAACATTGCTGTTATCTAATGAAACTTCTTTATATAGGAAGATCACAAAGAACAAAAAGTAGCAATACACTCTCCTCTTTTCTGTCTTTGAGACAGAAAGGGAACTGGATACTCACTTCAAAAAATCTATAATTTATGGTCTGGCTTTAGTCTTTCATATTCTTATGGGAGAGCTTAAGATCAGACTTGCAGGCCTATTACCTCACTGTGTAAACTTATCTTGAATGTTGGAAACTAGTATTACTTCTATCAAATGTGCCTTCTCTGTCAATGTATTAGATGGATATTTGAGAAACATAATTTAATTACCCTTCTTTTGGATCTGCTTGTGACTTTCTTGACCAATATAGTGAGATGGAAATGACATCATATGATTTGCTAGGTTAGGTCATCAGAATTCTTGAAGCTTTACCCCTCGTTGCCCCCTTGGTTTTTAGAAGACTTACTCTCAGAAATACAAGGACCCTGTGAAGAATCTAATTATCCTGTACCTGCTATATTGTCAGGAAGCTCAAGCTATCCAGGTGGAAAGGTCATTCAAAGACAGAGAGAGAGATATTTGGCTATCTGTCACTGGCTTTTCCATACATCCCAATACAGGCAATACAGACGAAGAACCCATCTCTGTTATTCCCACTTGAGCACACCTGAAGCAGAGAAGAAAAGTCTAGAAAAGTCTAGAAGACAAACAGAACTAAGGGACTGGTTACATGATCTGAGAGCTCAGAGTCCAATAAAAACGTGGAACTCAAGGTTTAATATTATTCAGAAGTTCAAGATGGTGTAAACAGAGAATGAAGTGAAGAAGGGGCCCTTTTATTACTACTGAGTCACCGTGGTCACTCACCAGTCACTCACATGCCTACTTCAGATACATGAAATACTGAAAACAAGCCAGCAATCTTCAGCCTATGGGCTGTCGTCACCATGGGAAAGCAAAATACCTGTTCTTGCTGTGGCCTGCTCACATCCCTGATCTCACAATATCATCAGTATAATACAGTGATTGTGGTTTTACACCACTAAGATTTGAGATGGTTTGTTTAATAACATTACATATAATCCCATTATAGAATAATATTTACCAGTCTTTAAGATTAACATTTATACTTACTAGTCATGAAGTAACAATGTAGCAAACTAATATGTTAAGCTGTGTTAGAATGTTGGATAGACATTGAGAAGATTACACTAAGTGAAAGAGTCAGTTTACATGAAATCTATAAGAGGCAAATTCATGGAGACAGAATAGAACATAGGGCTAGCAGGTGGAGTTAGCAAGGAAGTAGGAAGTGACTATGGATGGGTAGCAATTACTTTGTGGGGTAGCAGTTACTTTGTGGGGTAATGAAAACGTTTAAATGAATTACCACTGTATGAATAGAGTAAAAGATAAATGTATTCTATTTCTTAAATGGGTGAATAATATAGTATACAAATTACATTAAAGCTGTTATTAGGAATGTTGGGTAGTGGAAGATGAAGCTTGGGATAATAAAGTACATGGATATATTTGCCTAAGACCGTGATCTAATACTTTATATTCATCTCATCTACCTTGAATGCCAATTGTGGGTCATTGGTGGCACATGAAAGCTTCTTGGATCTTTCAGACACCACCATGACCAACAAGGAAGTTACTGTTTTTCTATTCTCTACTTTGTTTATTCACATACCACTTGGTGGACATTTGGGATGCTTCTAGAAATTATACAGTGACTACTAACATTCATGTATAGTTTTTTTTGTACTGGTCCTGAACTTGAACTCAGGTTGTGGGTGCAGTCCTTGAGTTTTTTTTTTTTTTTCTCTTAGAGCTGGTACGCTATCACTTGAGCCACAGCTCTACTTCTGGCTTTTTGATGGTTAATTGAAGATTAGTCCCATGGAGTTTCTACCCAGGCTGGGTCGAACTATGATCCTAAGATCTCAGCCTCCATTGTAGGATTATAGGAATGAGCCCCAGGCCTGGCTCAAGTATAAACTTGTGGGTGCTTATATATTTTATAATTTAAAAAACCTTTTTATCTAGAAAATGTTTTCATAACTTTATTGTGCTTCTTCATGTCCTACCATATTTCTCAGTACAAACTGTAACAGTTCTTTTGGGACATGTTTTAAATCTTCTGGATTTGCTTTTAGTTGCTTGTTTTCATTTTGGAATAATTGGTTACTTTTACAAGAAAACCTTATTTACACACAAATCATATATATATATATACATATATACACATATGTATATTAATAATCCTTGTTTATTTCTTGTTTTACACCTCTTTATCTCCTATTTATTGGATTATTTTTACCTTGTTTCTTTCTTTTTTTTTTACCACCTGTACGAAAGTTTGAATACAGAGCTGCAGGCTTGCTGGACTGGTACTTTCCATTTCACACACACTTCTAGCCTGACATTTTGCTGGTAATTTTGGAGTCCTTCTGCTCAGGCTGGCTTAGAATCGTGGTCCTCTGGATCTTAGCCTCTTGAGTGGCAAATTACAAGCATGATCCATTAATGCTGGGCTTTAAAAAAAAGCTGAAATTATATTCATGACAAAACAAATAACAATCATCTACCCACATATAGTTACAGATATTATGTAGACTTTACTGATACATATGTGTGTGTGTGTGTGTGTGTGTGTGTGTGTGTGTGTGTGTGCCAGTCTTGGGGTTTGAACTCAGGACCTGGACAATGTCCCTGAGCTGCTTTTTCTCAAGGATAGCACTGTACCACTTTAGCCACAGAACTATTTCTGGCTTTTTCTGTTTATGTGGTACTAAGAAATGGATCTCAGGGTTTCATGCATGCTAGGCAAGCACTCTAGGACAAAGCTGGATTACCAGCTCTACTTAGATTTTTTGTAAAGCTCTTTTCAAACATTCCCCCCTCCCCTTATTGGAATCTAAATGTTACATAATGTTGAAATCTACTAACTAAAGTTCTGCAACCTTAAATGATAAAACTTTTAGGGGCTGGGAAGGTGGCTCAGTGGTAGAGTGCTTGCCTTGCATGCATAAGGCCCTGGGTTTGATTCCTCAGCACCACATAAACTTTAGAAAAGTCTGGAAGTGGTGCTGTGGCTCAAGTGGTAGAGTGCTAGCCTTGAGCTGAAGAGCTGAGGGACAGCACCCAGGCCCAGAGTTCAAGCCCCAGGACCGACCCACAAAAACAAAAAACAAACAAACAAAAAAAATCCCTCAAACTTTTAGTAGGACCAAAAAGAAGGCAGAACAAAGAAAATACACAAAGTCCAAAAATCTGTAGTTACAATTTAGGATACAAAAGGCAAATTGATAATTATTTGATATATTTAGAGACAGAAGAGAGGATTAAATCTCTACTGTTGTACAGATTTCTCCAGTCCAGAATGAGGACGTAAAACTCACCTCATATTGAAAAGGATTGGGTAGGCTAACTGAAATCAGGGAAGAATAGTTACCTGCTCCTGAGTAGGGATTTCCTTCATTCTCCTTGGTTCACTGAAATATGTCACCAGATTCAGGTCCTCAGATATAAGCATACCAGAAAGTTCTTGGTCTTCCTTGGAGAAAGAAATTAAGGATGAACACAGAGGTGACTTAAGCAGGAGCAGGTTAAGGCAAAGCAAAGTGAAAGCAAAGCCAAAGTGAATCCTCCAGCTGGGAGGATGGGCAGGCCAAAAGAAGGTGCTATGCTGGAGCTACCAAGCTTTTATTGGGGTTTCTGGACACAGATATCCTGAAAAACTGGATTATGTGTTATTAACTAGAATTCAAGAGACTGGGCTATTATAACCACCTGCTAAAGGACTTACATGTGGTTGAGGCAACCGGGGGTGGGAGGGGGGAGATAGGGAGGGGGGTGGGGTGGAGTTCAGTTCTAAATGGGGACTCAAGACAGAGTCCCTCAGCTTAAAAAGTATAGATATAGTTGTTAGGTCTGCCAGGGAGAATAGTCCCGTCTCCCCACTCTTCATGAAGGACAGCACTGTAGCCTAGCCAGAAATCACCACCTGAAATCGGTAGTCAGCTGTAAATAACCTGTCAATCACCTGAATATGGGTCCACGAAAGGACCCCAGGCTTTCATCCCACGCAGTCACACCTCCTTCTCTCCCTTCCCTAAATAATCTACCATTAGGTTGAGCTGCTGCACCCTACTCTAGAGTGCAGCCTGTTGGTTTGGCTCTCCCACTAAACCCTTTTCTTCCTGAACCACCCGGTGGTCTCCTTTTTGGCAACCCTTTGACAACCACCACTTTGAGCCTTAAAATTCCCACCCTCTGCAGACCAGGGGTTCTCCTATCACTCCTTATTTTATCCTGTTCTGTTTAGTAAGGTTTTGCTAAACTTTTACCTTGTGAGATTTTCCTTTGTGTGAAACCTCTGGGACTGCTTTCCATTGTGTATTTCAAGGACCATGACTGACTGGGAAGCTAAATGAAGCAGCCTCTCACCAGACCTCTCTCTCCTCCCTTATCAGGTGTTGTCCTGTCCATTTCTTTTCTCTGATAATATGCAGACACATCCACCTTCCCATATGCTCTGGATCCCTTCTCCTTCCTTCTTTCTGCTGGTTTCTCTATTTGGCTTCAGCTACAGGGTTGTGCCAGCCTGCCAGAGGTTTCTACCCTTCACTCAAGGGATTTTAAGATCTTGAGTGTCCCTCAAATGCCCCTTATTCTAGATTCCCAAATCTACATTCCCTCTAGGGGTAGACTTGCCCTTTGTCCTAGACATAATGATCCCTGGGAGTATAGAGTACAGATATCCCTAGCAAGGAACCACTGCTAAGATTCTTGCTTCTCCCCATGCCCTCAAGGGGTGAGGTAATGTCAGGTTCTACTTCTGACATTTAAACTTGAGTCCTTCTGGGCTTTAGCTTTTGGAAGCCAAAGTTCAGACTCTTGTAATTCAAAGCATGTGAAATCTGCCCTCCACTACTGTGTTCTATCATTCTTTCCTTTGGAGATGAATATTATTAATTAAATGTAGAAAAAAGTAAAGGGTTAAAGAAAACCAGAAAGAAGTATGAATCCTACTTATCTCAACTTCTCATTCTCCTACCCTGATTGAGAAACAACCAAATAAAAGCTGTGACATGGGGCAAGTTTTCATATTATATTTTCAAGGCTCCATTTTCCCTTCTGTAAAATGTAGGACTGTTGGCAGGACTACAAAGAAAATATTTATAAGCATTTGGCTAAGTAAGTGTTTAATAAACATCTGTGACCTCAGCTTGGCGTAGAACTTACAGGGAAACAGATATATGGAAGTTGTAAAGCACGTTGTACTTGTTAATTCTAAAGTTAACAGTAGAACATATCAGCTAAAGGCATTATCTTTGGACATCAAAGGATGAAAAGTGTAAAGACTGGAAGAAGTGAATGTCTCCTGATCCTCAGAAAATGTCTTTCCTCTTTTTCCTGTATATCATGTGTTATCCTATTGGGAGGCAGATAAAGGTCAAAAGCAAGAATTCTGTTGTACTTGGAGAAAAAAACATTTTTCATACAAACAGCTCTCTCCACCAACAAGCAAATACAAAAACAAAATTCAACCTTTATTCTACTTATCACATTCTGCTATCCTGCCATACTAGTTTCTAAGATCTTTGAATATAAGGATTGTAAGTTTTTGTTGTGAAAAATAAAAGCTTTTAGGTAAAGCAATGTCAGCTTAGAATTATTACCACATTAATCATACACATCAATGGGGTTGAGTGCGAGATTTTTCATACATGCGTTTGTGTAATGTGCACTGAACAAACCCAGCATCCCTTTTCCCACTCTTCTACCTCCCACATCATTTTCAATATCTATTAATTACCATTCTACTTTAAAGTTCACATTTGTTGCTTTATCTTATGAGAGAGAACATGAGTTTCTTATCTTTCAGTATCTGGTTTAACAAAGTGCCCTCCAGTGCCATGCTTTCTTTAAAGTGCCAGCATGTCTCTTAAAATACTTAGTCTTGGACTGTTGTGGTTGGTTGCACTATCTCTTTTATCATCAGTTAAAAGAGATGTCTTGACAATACACCCTCTTCCTATTTGGTGGAAAATGTGCTCCCTTTAGAAACTAAGTCCTTCACAATTCTTTTAGCAAGATCATTCAGGTCTTATCCAATTACTGGAGGGTACTTGAACCACCAATGTCTGTTTCTCTTCTTCCCTGTTTCTAACTCCCAGGGTATCTACTAGTGATGACAGGGGACTAAAGTAATTCCTTCACTACTGCGGAGCTGCAAAGAGTCCTTTCCCATTCCCTAAACCCACAGGTGCTCATCTTATATTCTTCTGTACTCCTCCCTGGCCCTCCCCTTCCCTCTCTTTTTCTCTTACACTGTGTCAGACTTGCATACTGGAGCTGGCAAATGCCTGTCAGCAGGACCACCCATCCTGTGGTTGAGATCCTGCTCACTAAAATCGCTCCAACACATCTTAAAGCTAGCTCGATGATGCCAAGAGCCAGAACGTGAGCCCAATCATTTGTCCAAGCCCTAGCACATGTTTTCCGTGTTTAGTGTAAGCGTCGGGGTTCTTAGAGAACCCTAATTAACACAGATGTTTTCACTTCCCTCGGACAGGATGGAAGCACAGTATTTTAAAAGAAGCTTCCCCAGGAATTTCAGTGTCTTCGCGGTTGACCTCTTCGGGTGTCAGAAAGCACTGTGCATTTTAAAAGTTAACTTTTAAAACTTGAATCTCCAAAATCTAACTCGGTGTTTTGTACAAAGCAGGCATTCAGTATTCCTAAACTCCATTCTACGTGTAAGTTCTCAAGGGCTCAGAGAGGCTGAGCTCACAATCGAGTGACGAGCTCTCACTCGTCGTCCAGGGGCCACAGGTCGGATGCTCAGGCTTCAGTGGAAGTTCTAAAGGTCAAAGTTTGGCTCCGCAGTGACCCGACCCAACCCCGCCGCCGCACCCCGCAGCGGCAGGGTTAACAGGAGGCCCCGCCCCCGACGGGGGGGTCGCGCGAAGGGGCGGAGCGCGCGTGGGGAGCAGCAGCGCCGCCGCTCTGCGCCTGCGCGAGGCGCCCAGGGGACGGGGGTCGGACGCAGAAATGGCGGCCTCCGTGTTGTACAGTCGCTTGTTGGCTGCCGCCGCTTTGAGGAACCACCGGCCCCAGACGACGCTGCGGGCGGCTGCCCAGGTACGGCTGCAGGGTCCTAGGCTGGCCTCGAGGGCCGCCCGAAGAAAGGGCCAGGTGGGACGCTTGGCTCCTGTGGGCGAGGCTTGCGGAGCCGGCTTCGGGTCACTTGGTCGGGGTGACATTTTCCGAGTGCCCGGCGGGGCCCTTGGGCGACCTGCCCGGGGCTGCGGCTCACGGGGGACG